ACTGGAATATCATGACGTCGTTGCCTGTAAACTGTAAACGTGTATATTTCTTCAAATTAGAGTTGTAATATCCCATATAATTTATAGCATGTGACAAGTATCATTAAACCACAACAACACTCCTATTAGTCATACACACAGCATGGGGTCACCTCGGGCCAAATGATGTTATGTGCATAGTCGGGAAGTGCTGTGGGTTCTGTTTTTTCTTTTGTTTTCTTTTTCAAAGAGTTTCAGTTATTTAGTGTTTTTAACGTAAAGCAACTCTTACATAAGTGAATATTGGTTTCGTCAGTTGCTGTGGTCTGCAAAATCTTGCAAACATCACTTTGGTTACCAAAAATATCATGTGTCATGCTGGTATAGTGGTGTGGCGCCACCTTCTCCCTTCCAAAAGAGATTTTAATCACAGCAGACTTCCTGGTTAAATAAAGCTTAAATGGATTTTGAAAAAGAAAAAAACCCCCAAAAGAATGCATTTTAAAGTTCTAAAATAGTTATATTTTATTATTTCTTGATACATCATACACAAAAGCACACACAGGTGAAGTTACAGGCTACATCCAGCTTCTCTGACTTTCCTGGCATATTTACGGCCCTGTTTTATCCTACATCAATAGCACACAGTATAGGTATAAGTGAGCATAGCCAGGTCAGACTTGATTCAAACATATCAAAACACGTGTTTTAGACTTTCAGCAGAGACGGAGTACTGGTCTTTATAGAGTAGACGGTATCTGGCCCCAACTGTAGTGACTGAGGCACTAAAAAATGGGAAACTTGCGTATCGACAATGGAGAGGGCCTTGATTGGCGTACGTATGTTTGCGTCAATGTATGTGAATCCTTGAAAGGCCATTGTAAAAGGGTACAAGGCTGTCATGGACAGAGATTTTTTCCCCCCCCCCCTACTCCTACTGAAATTAGTTACCATTGGTAGCCTAGACAGGAACGCAGTTTCTCTGGCCAATAAGCTGAGGACCCTCATGGGTCCTGCCCCTGGACGAAAATAACCCAGTAAATACACTGTGGGCACTATGAGAACTGGAGCTGGCCTACTGTTTAAAGCTTTGTGTACAAACAAGGGATTCTTGTCAGCTGGGTGCTGCTGAACCATGCTGGCCTGTGTCCTCCTCTGTTGTGTTAGGAACAACTAGCATAGTGGCCTGTTTTTCCTTATTGAGGCATACAGGGTGTGGAGAGGTTGGAAGTGTTTGCATGGAGGGATGTAAATAACTGGGTTAGATACAGTGTTATTAATTGCAATAGTCCTTAACATAAGAGATTTTCAGATGAGTACTGCCTCTTTACAATAGTTTTATGGGAACATCTATGTGAATATCAACGGGGAATATCTTTAAAAACATGATACTGTTAGCCAGATCTGTACACGATACTGTTGTTTAGTATGCTATGCCATGAATTTATTCTAATATTAGTTCAGGCGATGATGCTTGAACTCATCACTCAGAGTCTGTTAAAAATCCTATCCATAAGTCTTGATGCATGCTCAAGCATCCAGGTAGGGAAATCCCAGAAAGTTGATTCTGTTCATCTGGATGTAGCATTTTCAGTAAGAGGAACGTTTCGTCACTCATTCACAGGACTTCTTCAGTCAGCTGACTGCAAGAAACTGATAGCACGGCCCATTGGTAATCAGTGATGCTAGTTTTGGTCATTATGCAAATGTACTGTTTTTAAGATTGGTGAAACCTGCAGTCAGCTGACTGAAGAAGTCCCTCAGATGAGTGACAAAACGTTTCTCCCACTAAAAAAGCTACGTCCAAATAAACAGAACAAACTTTCTGGCCTATCCATAAGTATTCTGTTTCCTTATTTTTTTGTCTGTCTGGTTGTTGATGGATACAACGTACTTGTGTATATGCATTTTATTGAACGTGAGATTTTGATGTTCTTTACTGTCTTATAGAGAGCCACCTTCAGGAGCCATTCATCCATAATATCTCATTAATGACAGAAATACATGGATATTTCATATAGGTTTAAGTTTGCAATACTCTGCTGCGCTACTTCAGAAAACGTAAACCCTCATTGGAGGCAGTTTTTTGCTGGTCAGATCTTGTGCCTGTAAAGCTACCACTAGTGTTTCAGATGTTTATTTGGATCACATTTTAGCTATGTGTGATGTATCCTGTGTGGGCTTTTTTTTTTCTAAACATAAATTAAATCATACCTGAATAATGCAGAGATCACAGCTTTAGAAATCCATGGCTGTGTTTCATTTATTAGAAAAAGTCAGAAAGCTGTGGAAACAACACTGAAAAAATGCAGATCATCAATGTTAATGTTTTTGTGTGCTTTTTTGTTTGTGTGGTGTGGTTTTAGTGTGTGGGTGTTCAATTAAAGAAGTAAATGTGCTGATTCATTGCCCCATAGGTCATAAAAACACAGTGACCTGGTAGATAAAATAAGGAATTGCATTCAAATTGCGCACGCATATGTGTAGGTGTTGCTGTATGCAAATATTGTGCACTGAATTAAGAAGAGAGGCTGGACTGAGGAGGAGCTGCCCAATGGAGACAGAGAGAGAGAGAGAGAGAGAGAGAGAATGAAGAAACTAAAAGAGTTAGCTAGACACAGGGATCTCCTTGTTGTTGGCCCAGACGATTGCATTCAGGGTAATTTAGGGGAAGAGGAGGGAAACAGCAGGAGGAGGAGGACGTCTAGGAAGCTGAGCTGGTGGTTAGAAAGGGGGCAGAAGGTGACTAATAGTGACTGACACTGTAAGCAGTTCTGTTGAGGAAGGGGTGGCATCACAATCAGTGGAGCAGCACATGTAAGCTCTGGTTGGCTGAGCAAGCAAACGGCTCATGGTCTCTGTCAGTGTGTTTACTAACACGTGGAGGAGCTCATTTCACCTGGATACACTATGCTGTCTTTGGAGTAGTTGGAGAGTTTCTGGTAAGAACCTGAAGTTTAACTATACTGAACTATATCCATTGTTGTGTGTGTTTCGTGGTGCCTGGCTGTTGACAGCTGTCACCCTGAGTTCTGTTCGTGCTTACTATGAAACATGTCTGAACATATTATGTGCAAAGTATTTTAGTAAGAGGCAGAGGAACAGAAACACTTACAGCAACAAAACCACTTTAGATCTGGTCTATTATGGCCCAATTTTAACGTACTGTCTGTGACTTTTAAAAAAGAAAAACTAAAGAAAAACTAAAAATATGATTGAGCAGCTTTGAAGCGTTGTTATGTAGCATTGTGATCGATTATGGCAGAGGGCAGTTAATCTTAGCTGAACTGCAAGCATAAAAACAAAAAAATGATCAGTGGAGGCCAGACTTTCAGAAGGTTTTCTGTGATGGGTTATCCTCTAGTTTATAAGTTAGACTGCACTACACCTGCTCTTAGAGATGCTGGATAAAAGTATTATAATTTGCCCTATAGTGCCCTACTGTCTGTGTTTCACTTACATAATCTCTATATGGCTCGTGTCTGTTTAACCAGTTTGGTTAGATGAAATAGCTTAACTGATTTTAGATTAGACAGCGTTTGTTTTATTGTAGGTTTTTTCTTCCCTTCCTTCTAGGAGTTCAAGTGCTGTATGAGAGTGGCTGTCAGTGTCAAACAATTGCAAAGTTTTTGGTGTAAACTGTTCCTTACTCCTAATTTAAAAAAAAGTCATGGCTTAAAAAGTTTTCGTTTTTTCCATGGCTTGCCTGGCAAGGAAGTTGCTTCACCGCCAACAGAACTAGGAGTTGTGAAAACTCATGGAAGGAAAGGGGAAGTAATGCGTTGTGGTTTTTATTGATGATGCTGGCTCATTGTCCTTCCTATATCTCTGTGTTGTACAATAGATACTGCGGAGAGCCTGCTGTTGTTCTTTCCGTGCTTTTTTTCACAGTACTCCCTGCTCTGTGATCACTGCAGCTGAGATTCGCTGTGCTCAGGGTCTCTCTTGAGCGACTATAAATAGGCTGTTGAATGTGACAGGCATTGTGATTCAGGCACAGTGTTGATGAGTTATGGTGATTCATTTAGATGACCTTCTGAAAGTTAGCCACTGAGTAGAATCACTCAACCTTAGCACTTCATCTTGGTGAGGAGATGGTAATAAATTACACAGATGTTTCTATCCACGTTACATTTACAGTCTTAAGACTCCTGACTATGTTTGAGTGGTTATTTTGCATCATATATACTCTTTGTGTGTGTGTACCATGTTTAGATATCTTTGTGATGACCAAAAATTGGAACGCTACTATACTTGTGGGGACCACCAGTCCCTTAATGCAACAAAATGCCCGTCCCCACGAGTTTGAAGACGTTTTTGAGACTCAGAATGTGGTTTTGGTGTCAGGGTTACTATTAGGTTTAGGCTAAGGGTTCAGGGATTCATTTTTGATGGTTAGCGTTAGGGTAAGCGGCTAGGGAAAGCAGTATGTCACTTAGATGTCCTCACTAAGATATTAAAAGTGTGCGTTTTGTATATGTGTGTATATTAGATCCCTTTTAACTCTAACCATGATATTGTGCAATGTTTTGATATTTCCTTGGGTGTGCATCCCTTTTCATAAAAACCTTTACATCCTTGACGCTCTTACTTTAATGATTAAGGTGTTAAAATGACTGGAAACCAGGTATAGGAAATGCAGTGCCTGAAGAATGAGCCGAGGGGAAAAAAACAACAACTTTCAAATCAGTTATTGAGAATATCTTCCTGTCGCATGTGTTTATACTTAAGCCTCACCATGGTCTGTTGCTTCACTTGCTTCCGCTATGGAAATTCTGCTTTAAGTGTGTGTTGCACACCTGCAGCTCCCCCTTCTTAAATACTTCACTGCTTCCTCAGCTGCTTTTTCACAACTGCCAAATTTGTATGCTTTATTTATAGCTGTTCATTTTATCTGTCAGTTCTCTGTTCAGTTTTACATTTTATAACCAATCATTTCTTCTTTTTCTTTTTGATTGTTGTTGTCTCTTTGTTCTTTCATCCCTTCATCCCATTGGCCATCGACTTTCTCCATCATCCAGACATGTAGTCAGCAGCATAAGCAGAGCACACACTACTTTGTGAACTCTTATTTACTCTCAAACAGGTAATTGTATTTTGTGTGTGTGTCTGTCTGCGTGCTGTTAAGATATCTTTTCATATTCTACCGTCAAAATCATCATGCCAAGTGTTTGTGGCACTGTGCTTCATTCAGAATTAGAAATAAAATCAGTGTGCCTATATAACCCCTGTATACTCTAACCATATATATTTATGTCACAGATATGTTTTGGTAACAGATGAAAATGATCTGCCTGTTTGCCAGTGTGTATTCAAAACAGAGGTCTGTTTACATGTTTTCAAGGGGTCTGCATGAAAACTGGCAAACACCGTAGAGCACTAATACACATGCAGGCTTACTCTTCATGTGCATGCCCTCCTCTCACCTGTACCCGCACCTACAGACAAATGCATGCACAAATGCATGAGGCTACGCACACAAACACAAACACATGAACAAAACAACAAAAAAACACATCGTAGTTCAGGGGAACATGGTGTTCCTGAAAAGGAGAACAGAGAGCAGGGGTTATTTTAGCCATTAGCACAGGAAGACAGATAACTTAATGAGAAAGCCAGCGTTTGTGTTTTGACTTGAAATTATATTCTTTGGTTTTCCAAGTTTGGTTTGGGAAAACTTTAATGTCTTGTCATGAGGAAGGTTAAGCAGCTTTTGCACTACATTGTTGACGTGTTGGTGTTCAGAGCAGGGCTAGCCATGTTGCACTTCTTGTCTCTATGCTCACTAACTGTGCAGAACTGATTTGCACAGGTCCTACACTTGCTTTAAATAAAGTTTTACATGCTGTTATGTATATGGAGGTTTGACAACATACATGTGCACCATGCATGCATAGAGGTAGGTGTGTGTGTATGTACACACCCCACATATAACTGCTGGTTGCCAAAAAGGCCCTTCTTGGCTTTGCACAGCCACTTCTAAAAATAAACACTCCACAAATTAACACGCTGTCTCCGAGCACAGGTGCTATAGCCCCACACTGCCCCCACATTAGTGTGTACTTCTGTGTGTACCTGCTATGCTTCTGCCTGGAAGAAAAGCTGTCATCATTCTCTAAGTTGAATATATTACACACGTCTTGGATTTCTTGGTTAGCTGTCATTACCTAGCCATGTTGCCTCCTCACAGATGTATCTGATCAGCCTTTACTTTGACCTGATCTGAAAATGTTTTAATTCACACAAAGTACTGCAGTAACACATGCTTATGGTAGTTTAGACATGAAAGCTGGACTTTGGTTGAGATATATTTGTGTGACTAACGTGGCAGTGTTGGCCTCTGACCCGGGCTTCCTCCGCTCTGCATCCTACTACTGGCTGTCAGTGTTTGAAGTGAAGGGGTTGTGACATTACAGCGTCGGACACACAATAGCTGCTCTGTGCTTCTACTGCGTCACAAATGCCCCCAGTTGATGTCAGGCAATGGGAAGGCCCGTGTGGGGGATCACACTGCCTGGTAGCAGTGTGTCACCATATGATATCAGGAAGTGACATCCTATATGATGAAACATTAATGTGCAACATTTACAGGACATGTAGGTCATGGATCATGGCTTTGCTACACTGGGTGGATGTATGATACATACTTTGCATGATGAAATGGAGGAAGTGAAATGTAAACATTGCAGCAAACGCATCTGCCACAGTCAGCAGCTTTACAAACAAGGTAGATTTGGAATCCTTTCACTCGTGCATCGGGGATTCAAATGTGTGTCTTTGGGCCATTATTTGTGCCACGTAGCCTGGTTTCTCTACAAAGTAGACCATTAGGTTAAAGTCAAATCTAATATGTTTTTATAAGTAAAGCTTGTGTCTGCAAAGAGCTTTTATGGTCAACGACAACATACCCCTGTGCAACTAGCCCTTGTTATGCACAAGTACACACCTTGAAGACATTTACTACTGTCGCTGCAGGAAGGCTCCTTCTGTTGCAGCACTGCATCAACAGCTGTAAATCTTGGAGATTAAAGCAAGCTGGCCTTTAAGATCTGCCGGTTGGCCTGCCCTAAAGTCCAAGTTCTGGCACAAGTGTGTTTTGGAAACTGTATGTGTTTGAATGTGTATCTCTGCATGGGTGTGTGTTTTTCATGTGGGCCATCTAATGGGCACAAAGCAGGCAGTGTGTGCCCCCTCGGTTGCTGAAATGTACACTGTGGACAACAGGCGGCTTCAGTCCTTCTCAATAGGAGCTGCCCTTCTTATTGTACCTCGTGCACAATGAGCTTTTCTCTCTCTCTCGCTCTGTCTTTCTCTCTTTATGAGCATATACAGAGAATGGAGCAATCACATTCTGACTGATGCTGTGCTATTCCATCCCACATCACCGCAAGCACAAGATATTTGACTAGACACTGAGATGTAGCACTGATTTCATCACACCTTTATAAGGGCCAGAGAAGGCTTAGTCACGCAGGGGCTAAACGCAAGTCACTGCAGAAGGGGAACTATCAGCCCAGGAACTCCCCAATCTATGCTAACTTTGTGTGTGTGAGAGAAAAAAAGCAGATGTTGAAAGGGGTGACGGGTGTTCCCCTCATCTTTTTGCTCACATGATCACTTAAGAACAACAAGACCACATGACTTTGACATGACTGGAAATCATCCTCTATGTGGGGGAGAAAAAAAAATTATTTCCTGTCTTTTTTTTCATCATAACAAAACTAAAAGGGTCAAGTCAGGGTGACACCAGGAGTGTGCAAGTGATCCTTGTTTTTGCATTAGCTGCTAATGTTATGTGATTGATGCACATTAGGTGTGAAAGTCAAAAGGTCATTGTAGTTGAGGAATTTTGATTCAAAAGATACAGCATGAAAGGTGGATTTTTAAGTGACATTTCAATTTGGGAACAGTCATGAGATGTATGTTTTTGGGGGGTTGTTTATTTTTTTATTTCTTTGAAAACGTTGCACAACAGGCAGACAATGAATGGATGGTTAGATGAATAGATTTGAGAGGCTTGGCTGCTGGTGATGTGTCAGATTGTTCACTGATCCAGCTTTGCTTACTTGAGGCCTGATCAGAGACTGTGAATCAGCGAATGCTGTGTCAACTTGGTAAACAGTTTTTATGAGTATTCACCCTGCTTTTAAACATCTTTTAGAAATTGGATTTAGTACAGTTGATTCAGTGGGAACACAGAAATCTTGATTATTTATTTTTTTGAATGTTATAAATGAGATATTGCGTTGGTGTGACTACTACCTTGATTTAACTTAACTGAACAGAGGATTTAATCAACTTGGTTCTGGACTTCTTTTATAAGTTTAAATAGCTGTTTGTCCAAACCTTTACTAACTATTGATAATCTTGTTATTGTCAAACAATTGCATACATATACTAGCATAAATAAGACAAACTAAGGTAAGACTTTTGTTTGTTATTTGCAACAAGAAATGAATGCTTAAACTAAAGTTGAGAATCTGCTTCACTGTTAAATAAACAAAGCCAAAAAAATTGTAACATCACAAAGTCACAGGTCTGTTCACACGAAAGTATTGCACACAACTCCTCTTGTCTCGCACCTCCCTTCCTACCACTGATGTTGCCATTAAACATAAAAGAATTAGTTTAATTAGGCTTTTCTTCAGAGGTTAGATGTGTTTCCATAGTCTAGTTCTTTGCAAATGATCTGTAATAGCGAGGTTACATTTTATGTTAATCAGATCATTTCTAGCTTCTTTCTATGTTACTACAATTTTTTCATTTCCCCCCCCTCGTTGTCTCTTTTACAGCTTCCACTACCTCTCGGGCTGGACTGTGGTGCATTAACGTCAGCTCGCCCTCCCCTGCCCCCCCGCCCCTCAGCCATGGCCTCACGCATTGGCTTGCGGATGCAGGTACAACATAACCTTCCACCGTTCAGTAAACAACATGCGGGAGTTTTGCTGGCTATTTATATCACTTTATATTTGTAATGTTGTGCAATGAATTTGAAACGTTTTTTTCCTTTTAAATGTCTCATAGCATTTTGATTGATAGATGGGCGTGTCTACCTATCTAGGTTTCATTAGGGCCTGATTTTCACTGCCATGTATAAGGTATAACACAGAGCCAAAAAAATAAAAGGAAAAAACAAATTCTTGTTTTTTCTTTTAACTATGTCATCGTTTTTACATAGATGGATATAAATAGATGCTATTAATCCCACAGTGGTGTAAATGCCTTGTTGCAGCAGCACAAGGGTCAGAAAGAAAAACAATGAATTAGAGGTACATTAGAAAACAAGCGAAATAGAAAAAATAAAATAAGTAAAAATACATTTAAAAAATATGTGAAAAAGCTACTAAAAATGCAGAATCAATAAAATATTATACAAGAATTATTGGTACTATGTACAAGTGGTGCTATATACACTAAAATATACTAAAAGGCAGGTCAGAGCTGTTGTTGTTGCTTTTTAATGGACATTGAAGCTTTTAAAATAAAGTAAATTTTAAACGGCTGATTATAAACTTTTACATACAAATCTTACAGTTTTCACAAGTCCTCACCGTGTCCCTTTCAGACACTTTGCACATGTACATTTGATAGCCAAACAATAGTCACGAGCATAGTTGGAGTCACTGCAGCCACTGTTGTTGTTACGATACCTACCAGTAGCAGCATGAAACTCACAAATCCCCTCGTTCTAACATTGCATGCTTCGATTGTTACCAGTGAACGGCTGTGGAATTAAAGCACTTTGAAATCAGATGATGATTGGAAAATATTTATTTTATGTGCATATTTTAAAGCCTGATTGCTGACTACTATTTTTGGGAAAATTCCACCTGGAAAAATGCCCTCCCCTCAAATTCAATTATAGCTCGGAAAAACTTTATGAAGTGAATCAGTAAAAAATAAAGATGCCCTTGAACTATAAGCAAAAAAAAGAAAATCTAATTTGTTGTAACTATTGAAGCATGACATATGCTCCATTTGTTTCTATCATAGGCTGATTCTGGTCAGCAACCTTCCAAAAATGTTGCCGGTTTCATTTTAATAACAGATGCAAGCTGGTGTTGGTTACACTGTCTTTCTGGGTGGAGGATAAACGCTAATGTGTGTGTGCATGTTTGTTTCCAGCTGATGCGAGACCAGCTGCAGCAGGAGGAGCAGCGTGAGCGGCAGCAGCTACAGCAGCAGCAGAATGCAGCCCTGCAGTACATGCAGAACCACATGGCTGGGCCACCTGCACCCACCCCAGCCATTAGCACTCCACAACATTACCAAAGCATGCAGGTCCCCATGGAGGTTCTGAAGGTCAGATATTCTTAAGATGCAAATGGCTTATTGTGATAGATATGTTTTGCTGGATTTACTCCCCACACAGCTTCTTTTTGACAGGACCACTGCACATTATGCTCAAACAGAGTGTAGTAAAATGTCTGCGGCTCCCAGTCCACATGCAAACATGCCAAGAGAAAGCACTAAACGGATTTATGGGACTGTAAAATAAAGAAAACATGTTGGTCGAGTGTTTGTAAAATAATCCTCTATTTATCTAATTACATGTTATAGCAATAAAGCAATGGCAGGAGCATGCAGCTGGAGGTGGTCAGGTCTTCACTGAGCATTGTGGCCTCCCAAACAAGCAGCACTGACACACAGGCAAAAGTCAGGTTTAAAAAGAAAAAAAAACCTAAAAGAGAACAATGCAGAGGCGCGCCAAGCAGGTAGGAAGACACAAAGGGGAGATAAGAGTGGTTTGACACGTTGTGCAATAGGGCAGACAGGAGCGATAGATAGAGTCAGTCAGGGAGAGATAAAGCCGAAGTGACATTTTGCCCGATTCCGGAGATGCTTGTTGTGTGCGTTATTATCTTACATAATGTGTGTTTGCGAGTTTATGGGTTTGTGGAATACTCCATTATATGACATTGTGCATTTTGCAGTGAGAATTCATACATTGTGTAACTCGTATTGAATGCTCCAACTTGCTGCATTGACACTTTACTCCGTGCACATGCGTGCATATGTGGGAGAGGGGAAAGGTGTTTATGAAATCACCACAGAGTTTAAAGTTGTCATTGTTCTTTCTGTAGATAAGGTAAGCTTCTCTATCGCTCCCTCTGAATCATACATGTAAATGCATACATGTAAAGAACTGTTGTTGGACCAGGTATTTACAAGGTAAACACAGTACAAATATCTATTGACTGAAAAGTTCACAGTTCATTTAATATAACCCTACCATGGTTATATAACAGAGAGCTGAGGGGGGGCTGAGGAGTCAAGTCTTTCTTTGTAGTAATGGCGAGCAAGCTTGCTCTCTCCTTTATTCTTTGATCTGAAGGAATGAGGCCAGTCCAATGCTCTGTGTGGCCACATCAGAGGATTCAGTGAGGCTTTACTCCTGTAGGCTTTACCACTGACTTAAACATACTATGTCCTAGTGCCATAACTGAGATAATGAGGTCTGAATCGCATATTCTGTGTTATCTTTTTAAATATTATTGGAAGGTAATAAGCTTATATTGTACATTAAATGTATGTTTTTATAATATCCCTGTGTGGTAACAGAAATAAGCGAACTTGCTGTTAGTCTTGCTTTTTGTTGCCACATATGTTGTGACAAAATAGAAAGAAGTACCCAAAAATGATACTTTGAGTTTCCAGCTGAATTAATAATAGAAAAAGAGCTGATTGCATTTTGTTTGTCCCTACTATAGGTACAGACTCACCTTGAAAATCCTACAGACTACCACATCCGTCAGTCTCGAAGACAGCAAGTGAAAGAATACCTGTCAACCACCTACGCTACCAAACAGGTATACGTTTGTCATTTTCTTCAGTCCGTCCATGTAGTATTGAAATACATCTGCCTATAGTATGTCAGATCTCTGTTCACTAATGCTGTAACACTCTCTTTCTCTGTGTGTTCCTAGGCGGTCAATGCAGTAGCGGGGCTAATACCACCCTCGCCTCCCACAAACATGGGACCTGCAGGGGGTTCAGCATCTGCACCCCCACCTCTCCAGTCCCCACACATGCGCACCGAGCAGCTTATGTCTGGCAACAGTGCCCCCAACAGCCCGATGGCCATGCTCAACATTGGTTCCAGCCACGAGAAAGAGGTAGATGTGTGGGCCGACAGTAGCATAAGCATAAACCCATAAACATTCATTCCTGGGCAGGTCATAAAGTACCATTTACAGGATCCAGACTGAACAAATATCCCTAAAATATGACTTAATTACACTCGTATATAAAATTATGAGGGTTGACTATTACCCCCAAAGTAACATCATCTCCACATTTTATGAAAGCACCATAATGATTTAATTGGTCTTTTGAAGGGTTAGAGGAGCATTTTGTCACTGTGCTGATGTTAATGTGTTGTGCACACAGTAGGGACATGGATGAATGTGTTGACTAACTGGCAATAACTGAGAATGGTAATCAGTGGGATTTAAATGCTCCATAATGGCCTTGCACCAGTAATTACAGCTTAAAAAGTGACAGGGAAGCAGCAGAATGGATGGCCCTTTGAACCTGTAAGACTTTGACCTGCTGTGTGCTTTTAGCATAACCACCTCTCTTCTGTCTCTCTCTAATCCTTTTAGATAGATAAGTAGTGTAACATGCATGTCCGGGGAGGTTACAATCAAGTTTCTGAGGCTTTAATCAATTGAGGAGGAGGGACAGCATTTTGTTTTTAGTTTAGTGTTTTCTAAGCATTCAAATGGTGGTTTTGGTTTGCTTCCCTCTCTTAACATTAGATAAAAACAGGTCACAAAAACATAATTAACACTTCTTTTTTTTTCCCCCCAGATGGATGAGGTCATTGATAACATCATCAGTATGCAGTCCAATGATGAGTATTTTCAAAGTTTCACTGATGCTGTCCAAATGTCAAACACAGTAAGTAGGAACAATACATATAACTAAGCTGCATTGCATCCAAACGTATGATTTTATTAACACATTGTTTAAGCGCACGCAGTTTGTTTTAAGGGACTCTTTGCATATTTAAATGGGTCATTGACTATAAAGGCCACAAAACCTTTACGGGCAAATTTGTCTCCTCTGATTTTATGCTGTGACACTACAGTGGTATTGTGGTAACAAAAACAAACAAGTGACGTATCTACGAAATGGTGCAGCAAAAGAGGTTTGGCCGCTCTGCAACAGTCAGAATTACTTTTAAAATAGATTTTTGCACTGAAAACATTCCTGCGTCGCGTTATTCTGAAAATTGAAACCAAGCGTTACATAGATTTGTTCTCTGTATTACCACATGATTCTATAGCTTGAATGCACCACCTTAAAGTAGAATAGGGAATTCCCAAGTGTTTTAATTAAGTATGATGTTCTCTGAAACCTGCGACCACTTCAATTCCGGCTCTGTCTGTACTACATGAGTCACAGAGCTGGATATGCCAGGTCATCAGTACTCAGACTTTTAAGTGCTTCCTATAATCATTGTTCTTGTGTGTGAAAAATGGCTCTCTTTATGGCAGTTGTTAATGTTCTTAGTTATTCTTAATGTTATCGGGTATTGCTTTGTGGTCGCTGTAACATTAGTGTTTCTAAGTAGAGTTTTCTCTAGATTTGATTCTGTATATTCTCATACGCTAACAATGTTTAATTGACTTAGTCGCAAAACATTCTGGCCCTGAATGATGTTGGGCATAATTAGAAACTGTAGGGCGGATATAACAGTTGGAAGACTGTACAGCACTTTGTGTTTGAGGGAGCAAACTCAGAAAATTAACAATTAAACTGGCAGCAGTTAGAGTTCAACTTGTTTACAAGACATTTGGAACGGGGGGGAGAAGGGCGGGAGGAATAGAAAGGAGGAGGGAAAGGGGGGCGAGGGCAATTTGTGTAAGGGGAAAACAGGCTGAAAGTCCAGTTAGGGGAAAGTTCACTCCTGTTTGGTTGGGAGCAGAGGTAGAAGAGAGAAAGGAGCGGAGCTGCCGTGGTCATTCTGGCAGCACAGGAGCGGCAGTGCCATTCAGAGCTGCATGTGCTGCTTGTGCCTTTAGAGGGAAGAAGGGAGCGCCTTGGCACTGTAGGAGAAGGAGTTAGAGGATGAAGGAGATGAGTAAGACGTATGCAATTGTGGAAGTTATTGAAGGAGAACAGATTCAACTGGTAAGACAATGAAGCACTCTTGTTTATAATTCTTTGAGTTTTGGTTGGGAGTTGTTGGATTCCTTTCTTTGTCTGAATGAGTTATTTGAACCACAGTGACTCTTAAGTCCCAGCCTTGAGTGCCTGATTATCAGAAAGAGGAATAGCAGGGGTGGTGGCGTGGTTTTGTGTGTGTGTGTGCGTGCGTGTTTGTTAGCATGTGATGGCTGTTTTCTGCTGGACATGAATCAAAACTGTTGCACATTTAAGCTAATTTAAGATTACTCCTGCAGGGTGCACTCAAACATAAAGGTTGGCGGGACTTAGCTTCTGCATTCTCAGACATATTGTGTAGTTGTCCAACGTTTTCCCTGCTCCTGCAGCAGGTAGACAGGGAAACCTACAAAGTCTCCTGTTGCTTTATCTGATACTCATGTCAAACACTGATACAAGCAGCCAAGACTGTCTTTTTCCTTCTCTTCTGTGAAACAGTTAAGCTTTTAGTAATTAATTCTGTACACATACATCTGACCATCTGCGTGCAGTGTCTGAGTTAACTGTGAGAATCCTGCATGATGTGTTTAATTGCTTAAATCACTATCACACTGATAAGGTGAACCGTGCTGATCAGGTTTAGATTGATTAAGTGAGAAGCCAGCACAATAAACTACCACAGGCAGAAACTCAGTGATAATCAAAATGTTAAAAAAAAAAATCCAGCTTTACGCCCAGCTGTCAGAACAGTGTGCGTGGAAGTCACCTGCTAATCCTAATGGGGATTAAAGCAGCAAACTCCATGGAATTCTTGGAATCTCAAAGTTTAGCAAAAGTCTGGAACACCCCTGAATGCCAGGCTCAAGTGAACAGTTTGACTTGTGCGTTGCTCCACTGAGCCATACTGAGTTCAAGTAGAATTTAGTCTTCAAATTGAATTAAATGGGCCTTTACTGGAGTGGAGAATGAAGGTGGTGTTTCCAGTCAGAATGTGGTCGCTGCAGAGGGACGAGGCAGGGAATTTGGGCTTATTAGAGTTGTGTGTTTTTGATTCAATAACTCAATCTGCCCAGATTTGTAATCGTGACAAGGTTTCAAATGGGCTTCTGTCTTCTTCTTAATATGAGGTAGAAATTAAAAAAAAAAGTTACCTCTAGAAAACGGTTAATGCTTGAGATCCTACAAAATAAAAGTCTTTGGTATTTAACAGTGTGGGTAAACTTCAGTTCGGTTGATAATGTTATCATTTAAGTTAAAGTTTTACATTTCATATATTCTTTAGATCTTTTGTAAGAATTGTAACAAAAAAAATCTAACTTAAATACATAGGTTTGCGTTTATATTAGTGAGTGAATATGTTTGATCTCACAGCTCAGACAGTAGCCAGCAGATTAAGCTATCTCCTCCTTTGAGTTCTTTATCTTTCAGGCCTCATTAGCAGCGTCATATTTGCCCTTGCTTCAGGGAGTACGACACGGTTGCTTACAAGGCATAAAAAGTTCATCACGCTAACTAGATTGTACAATTAAAAGGAAATCACATCTTTTTAGAAGTCCATAGCAAACCAAATCACCATTGTTATACAATGTCTAAAGTGCAATAGTGTGGAGACCACTGCACGAGTGTGAGTTCAGGAGCTGGTGAAAGCAGAGGAGAGAAATGAGCCGTAAAGACAGATAAGATAGATGAGGTGATAGTCAATCATTTCTGTACTTGGCAGGCTGTTCTCAGGTGTGATATTACTGCATTATCTGCTGCTATCTGCTCTTTACATCACAATAAACATGAACAGTAACTTTATAAAGGTACTTACTGAGATGTTAGAAAGTCAGGTTTACTTAGTTTTCATTTTGATTAGTTATTTTTTAATTCAGAAAATTGAAACCTTTGCTCATCTCCTATTTTTACTTTGCAAAGTATTTGTAAGATACTATGCATTTTCTAAATGCATGTGTGTGTGTGTCGTGTGTTTCCTTTGCAGCTCCCTCTTTCTAGCAGTCACCTAGATGTGTATGCAGGTCCTGGCATGAAGGGTCCAGCCATTGCTATGACCAGCAACTCCTGTCCTGCCAATCTGACCATCAAGCGAGAACTCTCAGGTGCGAAAGATGTTACAAAGTGATGCAGATTCTGTTGATCAGTGAAAACGTAGCGTGCGTTTATTGGCACTCTTGATAAGCTGTCTTTTTTGAGACGTGGCGCTTTCTCAGCCATTAGTTAATCACTTTTTGTTATTGCAAAGATGCAGAAGCCCGTGCGCTGGCCAAGGAGAGACAGAAAAAAGACAACCACAATCTGAGTAAGTCTTTCCCTCAGAATGCTATTTCCCTAAATCCTTTTTCCCTTTTTATTTTCTCACACTGATAATGTGCAGGCCTTCCGAAGAATTTGCACGTACCACATACATGCACACAAAGCATAATCTTTCCGATGCAGAAACAGTGTTATACGGCCCATGTGCTGATTTAGCTGACATAGTCCAACTACTGGGTGGATGGTTAACCTGGTAATTTCTGCTGTCCTTGCACTTAGGTGTAATTGCCTGTGACTGCGTGTGTGTGTGTGCTTAAATGTTCTTCTCTTTACACTTTTTGTATATTTCCAGTATCTGATCTATGCTATACATACTTAAAAAGTAGCATCTGTATAATTTCCTGTTCCTTATTTTAATACCTTTGATTCACCTGCACAGTGATATTATCTTCAGTGTGTTTTTTCCTTTATGCTAATTTCCATTGGTCTTATCATTCTTCTGCAATAGTTGAAAGGAGGAGGAGATTCAACATTAATGATCGCATTAAAGAGCTGGGCACCATGATCCCCAAAACCAATGACCTGTGAGTTTCTCTTAGTGCACCATGTTTTTAAAATAAATACAGATGTTGAGTAGTTACTGACATGAACTTACAAGTGAAAATTGCCTGTCTGCTCCCCTGTTTGCTTAGTGATGTGCGCTGGAACAAAGGCACTATATTGCGGGCATCTGTAGAGTACATCAAACGTATGCAAAAGGATGCACAGAGGACAAGAGAAGTAGAGAACAACTTCAAAAGGATGGAGATGGCCAACAAGCAGCTGTTGCTGCGTATCCAGGTAACACATTTGTACAGCACATGTCCAGAATCATAGAAAATGAATAATAATATTAATAGTAATAAAATTGCTTTTGTTCTTTCCCAACTGTCTAAAGGAGTTGGAGATGCAGGCTTGTCTGCATGGCCTGCCCAGCAACTCTCCCTCTGGCCTGAACACGGGTGACATTATGGGTTCTTATATAAAACAAGAGACCAGCCTAGAGGAGAACCATTCTCACCCCCAGGCACAAGCACACCACCAGCCCCAGCATCTACCCCATAACCAGGCTCATCCCCAGGCCCAGCAGCACCAGTTCCTCTCCCACACACACTTCCACCCTCAGGGCCAGGCCCAGCCCGAACCCAGGCAGCTGCCACCACTCCCACAGCATCTCCAGCCTCAGCCTCCCATCCAGTACCCAGCTGTGGGCAGCTCCCAGCACTTTGACTTTGCCCAGTCGCTGGACTTGTGCGATGGGATATCAGGGTTTTCAGATGGCATGTCTGGGCTGGGTGACCTGGGTGGACTTGACGTCCAGGCGAGGAGAGGCGACCTAGGTTTCCTTATGATGGACGAGCCTTTGTCCCCTATGGGTGGAGACCCGCTGCTCTCAGCGATGTCCCCTGAAGCGTCTGTCGACTCCAGCCGCAGATCCAGCTTCAGCATAGAGGACGGAGACATAATGTAGACAAGCATGCATTCGCTCAGTCAAACACACGAGGTTTCGCATAGATTGTAGTAAACATAAATATCACGTTTGCAAAACACAAAATGCGTACATTACATACACAGAAATGGATCAGCCCCCAGACATGACATCATTTATATCACACAGTTTCAGGAAACACCAGTGACACTCCTTTGTGGTACATTTAACTTCCCCTCGGTGTCATTAGAGACAGTACACATTCATCACAAACATTCACGAGCGCATAAACAGACACGCACACATACACCTACACACATAAGTGCATGTGAGTTTAACTGAGCAGCTTAAAACTTTGCCCAACACACTGAGCATTTACAAGGTGTGAACCAGCACTGCCAGGTCAGGAGTTATATGGCACAATTGGCCTTGTTTCCATAAAGGTGGCCCTGAATCATAATTGCACAAGGGACAAAACACCCAGTTAATTAGACTGCCATTATCAGATACAAGAACAAACCAAGTGCATCATCACACACGAAGAGGACAAGTTATTTGCCCCTAACATCAGCTCCTTTTAGTAATCATAAACGATTGAATGAACAATAGAGAACAAAATGGAAATGGCTTTATGGCCCTGCATGCATAATTTATCTTGAGGGGATGCAGTGCAGTCACATTGTTCCCTTCCTCAGGCTGTTAGTTGGCCTCAGGTTTTAGCCGTTTGGTGTTGGACAAAACTTTGTGTTAGCCTGCTCAAGTGTCTATATGTATCCATATCTTGGGGAATATTGCCAAAAAAAACCCTGAAGTTTGCTGCAAAAGGTGGATAATTCAGCTTTTAGCAAAGGCCTTTATATTTACTTGTCGAGCTGAAATTGTCATCTTCTGAAAAAATGCATGCACAGGCAGTCACGTAGCGTTGCCCACCTTTATTTTTTAGCACCTCCAGCACTGTCGCAATCTTTACTCAACACTGTAAAGTCTGTTGACTTTGGAGTGGGGGTAGAGAAAACGCACTGGATGGCCATCAAAAATCTGAGGGCCATCCATTTCTGTGAGGTGTCAAAACACTCAGGTACTGTAACAGAATACACAAGCAGGCTTTTAAATAGAAGTGGATGTTAACCTGAAATATGTCAGGGCTGTAACCCCTGTCTGTTTGTGCCTTTTTACTTTTGCTGCTCCTCTTCAAAGGCACGTGTTTATGGGTCGGAGGTCTTCAGCTTTGACTCTGTATCACATTCATCTATACCTGTAAATGCTTTAGAAGTTGCTTCTGCATCAGTGTGACCTTGTAAGCACAGGAGATACAGTGATTTCCTCCCACTAAGTGACCTTTTAAGGTTAATATATAAGGCGAGATGAAAGAAAGAATTGACATGTTTAAATAGTTTAATAGTTTGAGATACAGGATATGCAAAATTGCTGGCTTTGTCTGTCTGTTGGTGTCGCCATTCCGGTCATTCAGGCATTGGTAATTTATTCATGTTCCACGCTGTTTCATCCAAGCGTCACCCAAAGCAAACCTGTGTATTCATTCAGACATGAAGCCAAAATGTTAAGGACCTGTCAAATTAATGGAACAGAGTGCATGTCTGAAGGAACTAGAAGTGTTAGTTCTGCCTGTCAGCAGCCGTAGGCTTGTCTTTATGACATTAGAACACACTTGCATGTATTTGTGGTCACACTCACTTCACAGACATGCACACTTTCACCACAAACGATCACTTAGGTATTACAGTACTCACAGGCAGGTGTGTCCATTTTTTTTTGTTTCATTTTGTTTTTTTGGACACTGATGTGATTTTTATTATTTTTAGCTGTGTACCAAAACATATTCAAGTTACAGTTACAAGGGGTTAAGGTGCAGATTGTCAACTTTATTTTGAGGTGTTGAACAAAAATATTGCATTTACCTTCAAGAAATTACTGCCTTTTTTTATACACTATTTTCAGGGAGGCAAATTGATGTAACTGTAAATTCAGTTCTTTAATATCTTGTTGAGGTTCCTTTGCAGGCAATGACTGCCTTAAGTCTTGAACTCATGGACTAAAGCAGGGATTCTTTCTGTATTTTCTTTCAAAACTGTTCATCATCTGCTTTTTTTTGCCAAACTTCTCCGGTACATTCTTCTCTTTTTTTTTTTTTTTATCAGAATGTACCGAGCTTCCACTGCCTCTCTCAAGGTTTGTTTTGTTTTTGTACCCTAAGGCCGATCCGTTTGACTTTTTGAGCAACAAATTCCAAATGCAAATGCCACAGTTGAAATCATCTCCAAGACTTTTTATCTGCTTATACAATGAAGAAATGACTGTGTGAAATGGCTGTAATTCCTCACCGGCTGATGCAATATTTCTGTTTAGAGTCTGCACTGTAATAGCGTCTTTTCTTCGAATCATTTGTTGTGACTCGCAGAGGCAAGATTGTGAAAAATGTGCCACTGTCCACATATGCCTGGAGGTAACTGTAAATGAACACAAAGTGGAGTGAGGCTGTTTTTCAGAAGAGCCCACTGCTTCACTCTCTTGCCTCGAGATTCACATGAAGCTGCCAGCTGCAGAGGTAAAGCTCAGGTCTGCTGTTCAAACTGTCACCCAATGGTGATTCATTGCTCCAGCTGTCAAAGTGACGACTGGAGCAGGTTGTGCTCAACCTGTGTCGTATCTCTGCTGTGGTAGACCTGGGGCTTACCTTTGATTGATATAGTTTATGATCAGAACAGAAATCTATTTAGTGAACATACTTTCAAGGGGGTTTGTTTTTGATTAAAAGAAGTGTCTGTTTTCTTTATTATTTAGTTTGTTTATTGTATTTCCCAAAGCACTGAAAGAAATGACATTATTGTTTTTACTTTGTACATGGAAGAAATATGGAATAAGATTTACTTCAGATGTTTTATGCCATTTAAATGTATTTTATTTGTATTTGATATTTTAGTTCTATTTCAATTTTATTCCGAAACAACCCTTTCTTCTCAGAGCCATATTCAGGAGGTGTACTGTACAGGCATTTAAACAATGTTTTAACTGGAGTTGGGGAACCATTTATAAACTTCAAGATTTCAGCTGATTTTAAAAGAGATTGTGTATATTTCTGATGTATGATTGGGATTTTATTTATCTCTCTTTTCACTTTGAAATTTGGATCCAGACATAGATGAAGAGTGATTTTTTTTTTTTATCATTGGACTGAAATCAAGTTGCTCATTTGATGAATGTAAAGGCTTACCAGTAGTTCTTGTCAGACTGAAGAACATTGTTTTTATAGTTTATTTTTTTGCCCTACCTGCCTCCTGATTTTCTGTCTTTGGTTTCCATGGAGACTGGAAGCTGATTGACTTCAGTTAAACTAGGCCAGGGATTTGTGACTCTCCTGACGTTGTACCACTTTTTGTCATCATCCGGGGACGAGCCTTTTCCCGTCAGCTACAGTTTGACTGTTGTTGTTCAGTCATCCAACTAGAGCTTCTCAGGCTCCCTTTATTTTTCCACGAGAGGGCGCTCTGCAGAACAAAGGGGGAAGGTGGTTGTGAATTTAATGACGTTATAAAAAAATATTTTAGAACCCATACACTGGCTGAAAGTTTTATTTTCCTTTTGTTTTTTCTGACATGAGAAATGTGTGTGAGTGTTACTCACAAAAAAATATTTCTACGCAGCCCTTATTTTAGATAAAAATTAAAATACCCCTTCATTCCAAAACAGACACCACAGGTTTTGCCTTCACTGTGACGAATGAAAGTGTCTCTAAATTTGATGCTTGCGTGTGCCATTAGAAATATTCTATGTGCAACTTTTGAGTAAGGTGGAAACTTGAAGCATGCAATGCAAATCCACTGATAATGGACTTCAGCCTTTAGCAAAGTCAGTAGCATATTGTATTTAGCAGTTATTTTGAAATGAATATATGGCGTATTCACACATTGTGGATTTTTCAGTGGGCAGGAGGAGAGATTTTGTTTGTATACTCTGTCACTGGGTTATTTATTAAAAAATAATCATTCAAAGCAGTATTTTTATATCATCTTACAAAAAATATTTTAAATTGACATGGTAAATGGGGGAAGAAATATGTGTACACTTTGTATCCCTGCTGAATTTTGGCCAAAAAACAAAGACACAGCTGACTGAGAAAAAAATGGATATTTGTTGGTACAGTGTCATTGAAGCATGGTTATGTAACCTACTGACCAATACCAATGTAAGACAATGACTACAAGTGAATTATAGTTTTATGTGCATAAATTCAACTGTCTGTGCCTCGTTTTTATTTGTGTGTGTGTGTGACTATCGGAGGCTGATTAGAGAAGCAAATTTCATCATGTGTCCACCAGGGAGCACCAGAGATCTACAGTACCACCCCCACCCCCCACCCCCAAAACCACAATCCAGGAGTCTCCTTCAACTCTGCTCTCCTGTAACACTGTCACAGCGGACACAGAAAGGACTGGGCTGCTGTGCAATTAACCTTTTTAAATGCTACTTGAATAACTAATCAAAAATGTTGCTTCTTCACAAATACCAAGCAGCATTATTTTTCTCTTTTCAAAAGAACAGCAGCAACTGTTAAGGATACTGATTGGATATTTTGGCCCCTTTAAAGGGAAATCCAAACTGTTTATTAAATGAAAGAACTGCATTGCAACTATCCCAGCAAACATCTTTAGTAAGAAAGTTTAAAGGGTCTGATAATTACATTTATTGTGGTCTCTTACCTGCCTCCTTTTTAAAAAATAATTCTCCTCTTCTACTGCTCATTCCGTCATCTCCTGATGTATTAGTTCAGAGCTGCTTCAGGATGATCCATAAACCGTTTAACAGCCTTTTCTTAAGTTAATTCAGAGTAATCTTATCCCTTACCCACACACACACATATACACACACGCACGCACACACACCCGCTTTATGCTGCAGAGCATGTTAAAGTGTGGCGATAGTGTCTGCAGCCCATCCACAGGCCCATTCTCCTGGGTCTTTATGATGCTAATGTACTTCCCGGTCTAATAAATCCCTGTAGAGCTGCAAAGAGTAGATCTTATGGCTCACTCAGATCACCACCTTTTCGCCCGTCTCCCCCACAACACACATACACGCACTGCTATTACTGCTGCAGAAACGCCTGCCTTGCACTTCCACTGATACTTGGGTGGCTGTTTAGCGAGTGGGAGCGAGGGAAAGGGTCGAGACAAATCAAACACGAAGGTGCAATTTAAGAGATGCTGGCACGGAAATGCAGAGTCTGGCCCTGGCATAGTGTCCTCGTGGGTGGGCGAACGAAAGGAGGCACTTTGAGAAAATACTCATGACTTCTTTTACTGATGGATCGACCATCTTGAATGGGTTAAGGCATTGCACCTAAGGGATCACTTTATCCTCCTTGAAGAAGAAGAAAAAACAGCATGTTCAACAAGCAGGGGACAAAGAGCTCCACCCAGAGCTCAGGGTAGAAACCTCTGTTGGACTGGGACAGAATGAAGCATCATTCTCTCCTCCAACCAATCCTCTCATTTATCCTCCCTCGTCCTCACCCCAACTTCTGCCCCTACACGCAGCCCCCTCCCTCCATAGTCTTCTTCATCTTCTAGCTGCTGACTTGGTGGGTGTGTGTGTGTGTGTGTTAGTCCCACCTACATCCCTGGGGAGCAGTGTGTCACTCAGCTTGAAGCCCGCGGAAGAGGGGTGAAAGGGGGCTGATTGAGCTAATTTAGCCCCTGGATGGGAGAGCAGAAAAGGCCTCACCCTCTGCTAATAGACAGACATCAAAATGGAGATGAGGGGGAGGGGTGGTGGGAAAAGGGAGTGGGGGGAGAGTGGAGGGAGGGGGGACGATAAAACTGAGGCGACTTTTTGATGGATTTATCTCTTTTTGTCCGAGGTGATGTGGAGGGGAAAAAAAAACTTTTATGAACACCGAGTGACATTGCGAAGTTGGTAAAGGTTTATGTGTGTTGCCTGGAATTAAAACCTGCTGATATTACTTATTGATCCATCCTCCTCCATTAAGATACCCTCAATCACAGCCTTCTTTATGATCTCTCCTGCCCGGGCCACTCACCGCACATTCTCCTTTTGACAGGCAGGCTGCAACTCACCCCAAAACTACTGGCTTTTACTGCTATGGATGGAAATTGGAGACACTTTTTATAGCCTTTGTAGGCATGAATAGTCCTGTAGGCTCTGATGGCCCACTATCAAAAAGCCTCTAATGAAGATGGCACAATGACACAACATTGATTCCCCCCCCTTTCCTTTAGATTCATAATTCATCAGCACCGAAGTTTGCCCTAAAGTTTTGGGGCATCTCTGAAGTGCTGATGTCCACGTATTTCTCCCCACCCACCCCTAAAAAAAGTTCTTCCCCTCTGTAAGGAAAGACCCGAGCTCCTTCAAACCATTAAACAGGCTAAAACCAACGCTCCTTCCTCGCACACTGTCTCTAACTAACTAGGTCTCAACACTATCGTCGCGCACCTCCCTGTCCTTCTTCATTCCCTCTTCTCCTGCCCCTCTTTATTCTGCCGCTTCTTTGTCCATCTTCCTCTACATATTTAATACTCTCCACTGACTCCTCTCAACCCCTCGTGCCTCTATTCCTGAAAGAAAAAGGGGCTCAAATTGGCTGGAGAGATGAATAATGTCCCCGCCATTAACAGTGGCGCGGACGGATCAGTCTTTTCATGTGTGCAGAGGTGACGAGATCAGCTGCGGGAGAGTTGAGGGCCGGTTGCAGCGGCACTCTTTTCATTCTCGAACTTTTGCTCAGACTGCGGCAGAGGCAGAGAAGAAATGAGTAAGATGAAGCTTTGCAAAGACGCAAAGAGTAAGGGTTCGTGAGCTGAGATTGCAGCAATTTCAAATTCCTGCTTAAATTAAAAAAAAAAAAAGAGTTTGAAAGGACTGTCAGCTGAGGCTTAGACTTTTAGATATTTTGAAACAGGTGTATAAGAAAAAACCCCGCACATTTTGTGAAAGCTGTTATTCAGTTTTTGTGTTTGCCTAACATCATAAGTAGCATTGCGCTTTCTTATTTATTCTATCATCACAATCAAGTAGCCTAATTTCTCCTCATATGCTGCAAATGGTTA